CTCTGTTCCTGACAGACAGCCTTATTTTTATCAATGTGAACCATCTTTAACTATTGGAGGGAACATTTTCACTTTTACTGAGAGTCATTAGTTAATTAATACTTGTTTCACTGCTCTTTTTGTCTCAGCTCCTCAAAATGCTGAAAGCTTCAGATCAACAAGACAAGATGTCACCAGTATCACTCTGCAGTGGAATAAAGTGAACAACAGCATCAGCTATATTCTCCTTTTTAATAGTGCAGAGATTGATATCACTGCACCAGATGGAGATGGACCAGTAACTTACACAGTCTCATCTCTCACTGCTGGAACTAGATACACATTCACTCTCTACTCTGTGTTTGAGAACATCAGAAGCAGTGGAGTGAGCGTTACTGCAGTCACTGGTAAGATGTTTGACTTCATTAATGTTTATTTAACCAGGCGTATTACTTTGGAAGCTAATGGACAGTTAATAGTAATTACCAGCAGTAGTAACATTTTTCTTATTTCTTGTGTATGTAATTCAGTCAACTTTATGTTTATTGCGCCTTGAAACAGACATTCTTAACATAATTTTAACATGTCTTTATTTTTACTTATTCTCTTTTTTGTATAAATTAAAAATTTCCTCACTGTTTCAGTTATGATAATGACGTCTTATTTTTAAGAGATATTTACAAAGTATCAATACTTCTTAAAATATTCTTATATCAAAACATCTTCCTAAAACATCTCTGACTCTACTGTACTGCATATACAGTGTGCATTTCTGTGACTGAGACAAAAAGTACAACTTACAGACAGAAAATGCTTAAAATGACAGAAAATGTCAGTGCTTGAACTGGTTCTTTTTTTATTCTCAGTGGTAACCAGTAAACACCAATTTAATGAGGGAGACTGAAACTTGATCTGACTCAAGCTGATATACAAAGTGTGAAGGCACTAAACATTAAATCCAGCACGGCATAGAGCAGGGGGATTCTATTAAAAGAGGTTCAAAGAGGTGCAGGTAGAGACAATTTCCTGAAGCAAAGGTTCGGAACATCATAACCACTAACTTGCGTAATCATTCAGTGCCATAACATGTAGTTGTATCAACTTATGTCAAATTCAACAATGTTTACTGTCAGTTTTCACATCGAACTGGAGGGAAAATAAAAAAAATAACTACTCTAATTATAAATTATAAATTTAAAATAAAAAATGTAACTTAAAGTGTAGTCTCAACTAATTTTATTTTATAGGTAAAGCAGGGAACGGAATAACAGCAAGCTCATTAGATATTTCCTAAAAATAAACATTGTTCAGGAGTCCCGCACCTCAAGTCCGAGTCGAGTCTGAAGTCTTTTGAGGACGAGTCTCAAGTCGAGTCTGAAGTCACTGTGTGTGCCACTTAAGTGGCACTCGAGTCCGAGTCTCTAACTCGAGTCCACATCTCTGGCACAGGGTACACCTGACCATCCTTTACGAAAGGAAAGGAGAAAATGCCGTCCCACAATTCCTTGTGGCGGCAATATTTACAGCGACGTTCTCAATCTGAAACGATAAAATCCATTAACCACATTTAGCAAGATCCTCGCACACATTATAATACTTGAATACTCACAATTATCTTCTTTGTTTTGGTTTGTTTTATTTGGGCTTTTTTGTAATTTAATACTGTTTCAACACCGTTTTATGTTTCAGTTGTTGAAATAAGCTAAAAAAAGAAAATCACCAACCATGACAGATAAAGGCTGCTGATCAAGTTACCATTGGCTATTATGCCCTTTCTCTCTTAAGCCATAACTTGCTAATATGCATAGGCCTATGTCTTAAAACTGTCAACAATATCTGAGACTTATGAGCTATGTTACTAGTCTTGTAACCAAAGTGAGGATAATGTTGCAGCGTGTAGGCTCACGTTATATTTCCAGCCTTTAGCAATATCATTGATTAATTTTACTTCAGTCACAGATGCTGACACCCTCGCCTTCATAAAGGCAAGATCAAGCTGGATAACCTCTACAGTAGGCGTTTCCCACACACTGATTTATTTGTGGTGCCCTTCCACATTATCAACGCTGATTTTGTGTGAGCAAGCATTCTCAAGGTGAAAACCCTGACCATTAGTGACTGGTACCCTATCTGCCTTTTTGCTATCTTGGTTATGAAGTAATATTTTCCACCGTTTTGTCAACCTTTAGATGGTCTGCATTACAACAACAGGGGGCGCAGTGTCAAAGATGCGCTTTTTGTAGTCCATCTTCATAATTTTGTAGTTTCATCAGCCGTGGCATAATTACGCTGCCTAGAAAAGAGCAGTCGGATTCTCTCGGTCCTCTTTTCCTAAGTCCTTATTAATTCTCCTTCACATCTTTCCTTTACCTCATTACGTTTTCCATCGGGGTCAAGGAAAAATGGTTAGGAAAGGAGATTTTTTTTACTTTTCGGACGCAGCCTAAGTTTTCTTTCTGTCATCAGATTGAAGTAGAGAAGAAGAGTTTGCTTTGGCGGAGGCGGTCTTTATCGGCCTCTCCTGACGACCCGTAGGAGCTACACAGACATGCAAGACAGCAATCGATTCTTCAATACGAAGAGAAAGAGAGTAAAGCATGGGAGTGCTTTTGGTCATATATATATTGACTGTTTTTATCAATATTTCAATATTTTGGAAGTTTTATGTTATTAGGAATGGGGTTGTATGGAGAGAAATAATGTTCTGAAGATAACTACCAATAAAAGTGAACATATTAACAGTAAATATGGCCAAAACATGGAAATTCGCGAGGATGAAAATATATATTTTGTCTGTATTGCATCTCCATGTAGTCTTTAGTGGTAAAAAAAATATGTTAATGTACAATGGATTTATATTCCTTAGCTTCTTCTGACCTTTCTAAGGAGACCAGAATTATGCACCTAGGCCTAATGGAGGAGATATTACTGATTTATTTGGGTATGTTATTTTAGCCGTTTTTCCTGGAAATAGGCCCACGCTCTGAGTCCCTTAGTGTTGAAGACATACCAATTAGTGACCTCTGGCATAGAGCACTAATTGTTTTACCTGCTCTGTAGTCATGAAACAGTGTACACTGCTACATAAATGTCTAATACAAAAATGTCATCATCGAGGAAAAGGTATTGTAAAACTCCACGGTACAGCTGAACCCACCTGATGCATAGTACCTCTTCATGTTCACTGGAAAAAAGTTTACTTGCTTTATAAAAGAGTAAGTAATAAAAAATTGAATATGCTTTGTTTTAGGGATTCGTCAGTACTACTTTGAGAATATGCCACTGAACTGGACGGAAGCTCAGAGCTTCTGCAGACGGGTCTACACTGACCTGGCCACCATAGAAACCCAGACTGACGCCTTTGCTGTACTCAGGACCACACCAAGCTACACAGGTGTGTACATAGTGTGTATGTACTGTATGTACAATCATATCCATACACAATAGCCAGGCAACAACTAAGTTTCTGAAAAGCTTATTTTGATTTAAATGAAAGTATAAAATATATTATGGAATGTGAAAAAAACAACAAAGGCCCTCAATAAAAAATAGAGGAGACAATTTAAGGGATGTTCAGTTTATTCATATACATTTTAAGTCAATTCAGCAACTATTTTAATTCCAGCTGTTATATAATGAACATCTGTTTGAACAGGCAAGGCTTGGATAGGCCTCTATGGTGACAACTGGAGATGGTCCCTGACCAACAGCAGCTTCTATGGTGAAGAAGACACAGGGTTTAGAAACTGGGCTCCTGGACGTTCCTATAATCCTAACGGACAACAGAACTGTGTGCTGCTTCAAAACTATAACTATTACTATTACAACAATGGAAAGTGGTTGGACGTTAATTGTAACTACCCATTCTACTCTGTGTGCTATAACGGTGAGTTTTCTTATAGCACAAGAACAAAAAGCTAAATAGATCTTCTGCATAGCATATAATAAAAACTTCTCTTCATCAATATATTTCCAGGTTCAGTAAATGGAACATCAACCTTTGTAAAAGTCGACACACCTTTGAATTGGACTGAAGCTCAGAGATACTGCAGGGAGAATTACGTCGATCTAGCCAGGTACAGTGTGCACTAATGAAGACTCCAACACATAGCTTAGTTTTAAGGTGACTGATTTTGATTTTGAACAGCTATGTTGTCACATGACCAAATCCTTAAATAATCACACAATGTACAATATTATATTTCCCAACTAGGGATGCAGCAATTACACTATTATTATTATATGACGGATCACCTTGCTGCTAAAAGCTCAAATAACTGCATCAAATTTGATGCAGCACCTACGGAATCACCACCCAGCTTTGCACGCCCAAGTAAATGTAATTCATAATAACTTTAACGTGGCAAGTTGATTGGGAATTAAATTTCAAGGTGTCACTTACAATCGATGCCATAGAGGTGAGAGTCGAGCTTTCAGTGCAACGTGAACAAACAAAGCCGGTGTAACCCTTCAGACCCACTGCAACAACAGCACTGCTGCACTACGAGACCCATTATTTTCAAAGGCTTGCACATGGCGTGCGGTCAAAGTAGTTTTGTACTGAGCAGGTTCCTCACAGTGCAAATCACTTCTTTGAAGAAACCTCAAAACCTTCAGTCACTCAACATTTACTGTTACATCCTGTCAGCTTCTGCTCACAGTGTTAAAAAATGTTAGGCTTTGTGTGTTAATATGCCAGGTCCATCACACTGCCCTCCCCTTCGGGAGACGCCCAATTGCGCTTCACGCATAAAGGCATCCGTCACAACTCCCGCCAATCGTACTTCTCCCATCTCGAGGTGCCCCACACATTAGTGCAGACATCAACCATCTAGAGTGTTTCACCCATCTCTGGAGTCCACCAACCCTGGGGGTCCCTCCTACGCACTGGGTACGACAATTTCACAGCAAGTCATCCCACTTCTGACTCCACATCTGACAGAAAGGCAAGAGCAGTTATCCCACCCAGATTTGAACCTGGGTCTACAGGGTACCAAACATGCAACTTGACAGCAACGCCAAATGCTCATTGGCATGGCAGTAACAGCGCAACCGTAGTGACGGTGGTCCGTCACAGATGAGAGTTGATGAAAATAACATTTCAGTTTATTACGCTCCTACTAACAATTTCCCCTGGTGGATAAGTGAAGTTAATATTCCTCTTATATTAATAATACTTACATATTATAGAAATATAATTGTTAATGTAATTAAACATTAACAATTAACTCATTACTAATGTTGTGAAATTAATTAATGCATATTAATCGTGAATATGTGAAACCATGATTATTCCTCTGACTATAATCATACCAACAAAATCTGTAATTGTTGCATCCCTATTCCCAACAATCACTAAGAATGCATTGCAGTATTTTTTTTTTAGTTAACTTTCATCTCTTCAGTTACACCCTTGATGTGTATATACTACTGTTTCTCTCTCAGTATACGTGATCAGACCGAAAATGATGTCATCACAAAGCTGGCAGCTGGTGACGATGTGTGGATCGGTCTACACTTGGAACAACTGTGGTCTGATGGGAGCACGTCTCTGTTTCAATACTGGGCCTATGGGCAACCGGACAGCACAGAGCAGTGTGTCACCACAGTGTTCAGAAACTCAGGACGGTGGTCAGATGATAACTGCTCCCTCACTTTCCCGTTCATCTGCTACTCAACAAGTAATGCATCTTATTTCTACTCACATAGAGATTCATTTCTGCATTAGAACAATGTTCTTCTGCTAAATGCTGCTCAGAATAACATACTATCTATAGCAGATAAACATGTGGAAATCTAGTGATCATGTTGTAAACAGCACAGTAACATACATTTATCTTCCAAAAGAAAATTACTTTCTTGTCTGTAACGTTAATGTTTGCTATGTATAAAATGTTCTCAAAAGACACAAAATCACCCAAATCAAGTCAAATAAAATGAAAACTCTGATTGCAGAAATCTGCTATTGAAATGAATGTTTCAGAACAAGAAAAATAACAAATACCATAAAAAGTTTTATTATTCAAACCACAACCATCTATACTTACTTACTTATATGTTTCTCATCAGTATAATTCTGTTTAAACTGAGAAATAGCAATCATGTCAGTGATAATGTCTATATATATATATATATATATATATATATATATATATATATATATATATATATATATATACACTGACAAAGAGGTCAATCATATGAAATTAAATGAATTTCCTCCCATCATCCATCATCAACCACTTATCCTGCGTACAGAGTCGCGGGTGGCAGGAGCCAATCCCAGCTGACATCAGGCAAAAGGCAGGGTACACCCTGGACAGGTTGCCAATCCATCGCAGGGCCACACATAGACAAACAACCAGTCACACTCACAATCACACCTAACAACGATTTATAGCCACCAATTAACCTAGTCCGCATGTCTTTGGACGGTGGGTGGAAGCTGTAGCACCTGGGGAGAATTAAATTCAATTTATTTATATCAGAAATATAATGAAGTCATCTTCTATTTGATGTGCCTTAAGGTACCTTAACAAACCAAAATATACAACAGTCCCTTTTTTTCAGAAACTGTAAACTGTAAGTTACCTTTAAGGCTACTGATGGACTCCTCTGCACTAAAAGCCTTATTGCAAAAAATATATATTGCAAATATCAGAGGGTAACTTAGTAACCACAGCAATTTACTTTAATGCCATTGTTGCGTGACGTCATTCAGCTGCTACTCGTATTATGGAACGGCACTGTGTGTACACTTTTCAAAGAGTTTGTCATAGTCAGCCATGTTTGTCATTTTCGGCGTCAGGACATGGACATGGAGTCATGCACCTGGAATTCAAATTGGACATTTCCCAGTTCCAAGCAATCAGGAGCGCATCAGTCAAGAGCCATTGATGTCTATATGTAACGCACTCGGGATCCCCATAGCGTCATAGTTCAGCGCACAGGGGAGAAGCCCTGTAGCGTCACTTTTGAATGGAAAAGGTAGGTAGGCTATATGATATAGTAAGTAAAGAGGTACCGTAGACAGTATATTACTGGACGAAGCCACCCCGCAGATTTGAATGGAGGGCAGTGAAGCCAGTTTTGGACCAATAAAATACTACTACAGGGCTACTTCCTGTTGGCACAAGTGTCTACTGTGCATGATCGTGCAGCATAACCGTGGTTTAATGACGTAAATCAATGGCAGAAACACCGTTATTCTGGTAGCTGCATAGCTGCGCCAACAAAAAGTACGTCTCTCATGTACGACAGGATGTCACAGGGTTTTGACGTCCTTTTTGGGCCTACATGGCTGGCTTCACTATTCCAACTGTGGCTTACTCCCTTGCATCAAACAAACATTGCAAATGTCATCATAGTTTCCCACACAGTTTCCCACCCCAATGTCCCAATGCAATACACCAATCAGAGTCATTTCCCTTTTAAAGCCAGGTGCGCTTGTACTTTGGCGCATTGCTATCATAATAGTGTGAATGGTGCATTATGAAAAACACCAATTGACTGATTAAACTGCAGACTCACAGCAGAGAGGGGATGTGGAGAGACGTGTGGATGTGATATAAAAATCATCTCTGATCATGAAGCCTGTGTTACTCTGCTGCTCTACAGTTTATGAAAGTCTGTAACACAGAGCCCACTAAACGCCGACAGCTTCACTCACCTGTTTCACTCTGGGGAAGGAAAACAATACACACAAAGCATGTTCACCACCACATTAAAAGCTGTAGCCTACATGAAGGCAGTATAGTTGACTGTTACAAGTTACGTAGGTTATGTAAGTTGAGTAAGCTATGCAAATAACATTACTTAACTTACATAAGTTAACTGGTGTATATATCATAGTTCTTTTAACCCAAACCATGATTTTTTCCTAAATCTACTTTTAGTGCTTAAATCTAACCAAATTGCGTTTAGCTGTGCCGTTTATATGTGATATTAACAACGTGCCATTTCAACAAGGCAACACTAAGAGATAGGCCTTTGAAAGTCTAACCAGACGTTGCATATTTATTGTTGCTAACTTGACCTAACTTGAAGTCAAAAAACGTCTCCTGGTTCTCTGGACTAATCGGAGGCAGAAAATAAAAGCAACAGGTTAATCTGTCTCACCTCATGCTGGGCGATGTACATTCAAAAGAAACTATGAAAGCATTACCTCCTTCATCAAACAGAGCCTAAAATAATAGCAAAAGTAGGGTTTCCACTGCTGTGTATATTTTAGCTCTGGGGCTTTACCCAGGAGCTACAAGTGTGACTGGGGAACATTTTACTTTATTTTTCTGATGTCCTGCTTCTCTACTTCAAGGTAAGCACTGAATTGGCCAACACATTAAACTCCTTTACTTCCCCATGGTTATTATCCAACTTAAAGTTCTATGAATATTAAATTCTTAATTTATTGTTCAAATACTGTGATGTATTTAGGTATAAAATGTGACATTCTTGCTAATACAAACATCTACTATATCTCTCATGGCCACCATTAGGTTATCTTAACAATGGAATACAAAATGGAGCAACCTTAACAGTCATGGAGCATGAATAATTTTTCACGCAAAGTTATCTGTTGATAAATTTATTCCCTTCTCTTCTTCTGTTTCAGCTCCTCCAAAAACAGAAGACTTCAGATCAATAGGACAAGATGAGACCAGTATCACTCTGCAGTGGAATAAAGTGAACAACAACTTCAGCTTTATTCTCCAGTTTAATAATGCAGAGATCAACATCACTGCAGCAGATGGAGATGGACGAGTAACTCACACAGTCTCATCTCTCACTGCTGCAACTGAATACACATTCACTCTCTTCTCTGTGTCTGAGAACGTCAGAAGCAGTGGAGTAAACATTACTGCAGTTACCGGTAATATATGTCACTTTATTTCTATGCTCTGTATCTTTTTAGCGAGCCATCATCTGCTTTTCAGAGCACCAGTGTTAAACTAAGACGTATCTCCTGGGTATAATATTGATTAAAGGAATGTGCTACTTAACAACCTAAACATTTTTGCATGTTAATTTAACTCAGCATTGTTTTGGCCAACACTGTAAAATCCTTTTACATTAATAATGATCACTTTTTTAATATTTTGTGACGTTGTTATTCTTCATTTATAGTGGAGTACGTCTCTGTTGTGATATTAAGTGTGATGGATATGACTACAGAATGTGACATCTGGATCCAGAAAAAAACATTCATACTCAGTAATACAAAGAATTGTTTCACTTGCTCTGTTCCTGACAGATAGCAAAAGTTTTAATCAATGTGGGGACACAAAACAAACCATCTTTAACTAGAGTGAACAACAAACAACATCACTTTTACTGACTGTCCTTTATTAATACATGTTTCACTGTCTTTTTGTCTCAGCTCCTTCAAATGCAAGAAACTTCAGATCAATAGGACAAGATGAGACCAGTATCACTCTGCAGTGGAATAAAGTGAACAACAGCTTCAGCTTTATTCTCCAGTTTAATGATGCAGAGATCTACATCACTGCACCAGATGGAGATGGACCAGTAACTTACACAGTCTCATCTCTCACTGCTGGAATTCCATATAGATTCACTCTCTTCTCTGTGTTTGAAAACGTCAGAAGCAGTGGAGTGAGCGTTACTGCATTTACTGGTAAGATGTTTGACTTCAATATTGTGAATAACATTTTAATCTTGCAACTTAGGAAGCTACTGGACAGCTATTATTATTTACCAGTAGCAGAAGTTTTTTTTCTTGTTACATTTGAACATTTTCATGCAACTGAAGTTTGTCTTGTCTGATTTTCATGAATAAATTATCAATTCATTTTTAAATATTCTTCTTTCCAAAACATCTCTCACTCTGCCTACTGCAACAAAAGGACGTCGTAAGTATATCCATTTGTAACATTTATTACATGGTCTGAGCCTTTGCCTCGAGTGCATTAGCATGATTTTTATTGACATCCTTTTCAAAGCTATATTTTTTTTTATCCTATGTAACTTCTATTTGTTTTTCATTATTTACTATGTGTTTACTTTAACTGTTGTTCCTTAGCCGATATTTACATAAAACCAGAGAATACATTATTGTATAAGGGCTGGGCACGTTAATGCGTTATTATTGAGTAAACACATTAATTAATGCTGACTATTATCACACGTTAACGCAGTTTTTATTATTAGGCTATTATTTTGAAAGTGCGTTGCTCACTGGCACTGAATACACATATCAGTAGAACCATGAGTCATAGTAGGGGTGGGATGTTGATCAGCCCAGAGATGGGGGCTCGAGTTAGAGACTCGGACACGAGTGCGATTTAAGTGTCACACAGTGAATTGAGACTCGACTTGAGACTCGTCCTCAAAAGACTTCAGACTCGACTTGGACTCGAGGTGTGGGACTTGTGAACAATGTTTATTTTTAGGAAACATCTGAGCTTGCTGTTCTAGCTCACACAGGCTCCGCCCTCTACTGGACTCTATGGGTACTACCTCCTCCGATCACATTTTATCGTGCACACAGCCGACCAATAGGACTTCGCTACCGATACGTGCGTGACGTAAAAATAGCAGTGTCCCTACTGCCTCAGCATCCTTTTTTCTTAAGCAAACGGTGAACTGCTCACTGAATTCACCACCTCCACGGATGGAGTCGCCACTTATCGAAAATTATCTTTGCACCTGGGCGAGGTGACCCATGTCCTGGAGGCTGGGGAATGGAGCGACTGGCCAAGTGACTGTTATGGATGGAGAGAGGCCTGCTGAGAGATTCCCAGCGCGCCCACGAGGACTCGCACGGGGGTGTTGCTAGCTCACCGGCGGTTAAAGCCTGTCACAGCGCAGCTAGGCTAGTCTGCTATAGCCGGAGAGAGAAAGTCAAAGTCAGGTCTCTCTCGGTATAGCGGGACGAAAGAGATCGCTCGCTGCTTCGGTTCCTTTCGTTTCCTCAGCGGGCGGCTTGTAGCGCCTGTTACAGCAGGCTAGGCTGTCTACTTGCCACTGCTTCACAGGGAAGCTGTGAGCTTGAGGCTGACGCCAACACCGGGTGACAAGGCCGTGGTGTCATTGAATGCACCATGGGCCTTTTTCGAAAGATTGAACTGTTTCTGAACTTTTTCGATTGCAGCCCTTGGAAAAAGCCTTATTTATTTAGCCTTATTTATTAAAAAAAATATATTTAAAATAATAAATAAATAAAAAGGAGGGTGACAGAGCGACAGAGGCTGATGTACACCACCACTCCTCCTCCCTCAGTGGCAGTATGCATTTATTTGTGTTTCATGTGCTGCTGTGTACACACTGAAAATGCTGTGAATGTTCAACTGATTAAATACAGTAAATTCCTAAAGAGCATTCTCCTCCCCACCGAACCCCCTCCATCTTCAGCTCGGTGCGTAACTTCCATTTATGAAAAGTTTGGCGGTGGAGAGTGCCGAAGATGCGTTGTTTCACGTGTACACATTTTCATGCAGAATGCCGACTGGGTGGACAGCTTTCTGAGACCAGGCTACTCTCTTCAGTTCTGCTGCATACCACCAGTTTTCCTGGACATAATGGAAGCCAGTCTATCCTCTCAAGAGGAAGTGGACTTCCTTGCCGCCGAGATCCAGCAACTTCTGCTGAAGCAGGCTGTCTTAGGACATCTCAGCGCATGACATGCACAAAGGTCTTTCACCATGTACTTTTTGGTCCCCAAAGTGACGCAGCCTACAGTGACAGAGCCCTGGCCTGTACCTCTGGGAGGTGAGAGTGCATCTATTGTGTCCATGTGTGCTAGGCTAACGTCCTATGTAGAGCACACAGCCCCCATTCGATGCACTGGTCAGCTGTTTGTCTGTTTCACTGCAGTCAGGTGTTGGTCAGGCCAAGCCCCTATTGGTCCAGCAACCTTCTCAGGGGTGTCTCACCATTCTGTCACTAGGTGAAGTGGTGGGCGGGGCTTTGGCCGGCCTGTGGCCGACCGGGTTGGTGTGGTGGACTTTGGCTTGTCGCGGCTAGGGCGGACAGTCATCGGGCTCCACCCACTGTACCCATAGAGTCCAGTAGAGGGCGGAGCCTGTGTGAGATAGAACAAAGTTTAGGATATGGTAACCCTAGTTCTATAAGCACAGGCGGAGCATGTATCGGTACGTCACGCGTGTATCGGTAGCGACGTCCTATTGGTCGGCTACGTGCACGATAAAATTTCAGTGGGCGAGTGCGTGCGTGTGATTGGAGGAGGTGGTACCCATATAGTCCAGTAGAGGGCTCTGTCTGTGCTTATAGAACTAGGGTTACCATATCATAACCTTCGTTATTCCCCTCCCTGAGTTACCTATAACCTGCCTACGTAACACGGAGCATCTGCTGCGCGCAACCGCACGTGAGAGAGGACAACAAACACTGGCAGCTGCTCCGCAATTCATCATAAACTTTGGCTTTAAAATTTCATAAAACAAACCTAAACAAAGACGTGCTGAACGCAAATAGGTTAGTAACCTGTGGTGAGTAAACATGTTTAGCTCAGCATTGGCCATCTAACGTTAGCTTACTTCTTGCTTCAGCTACGACCTACAGAATGTTAATTCCAACTGTCGTTCGTTATGAAAAGATGAATAAGCGTTTGTTTACTTGCCAAACTTGTGGTGGTTGATTAATGTAATTATTTACGTCCCGCTGGCTGCCATCACCTTAATTATTACCGTTGGCTAGAAAGAGGTTACAGGTTTATTGTTCATCATGTAACCTTACAGTTTTATTTAGTTGTAACCTGGTTATAACGTTACACTGGTTTGAGAGTCTGGTGGTGTGTTGACTTTCAGTAGTTTAAGCTGTCAGTGATTGCACTGCACATTACATGGTTTTGCTCTGTAAGTTAAAAAGTTTATATAGCAGTACATTTAAATTAAAAGTGCTCAATGCACTACTTAAGAATTCATTATTAAATTTTGTGCATAACTATGCAGCAGGAGGTGAGACTAACAGTTTTAACATTGTTTTTTCTGTGTTTGTGTGGCTTTTTTAAATAAAGGGCTTGAGACAACACGGATTGTCCCCACGGTTGTCCTTGAAAGTGTTGAGACGTAAGATCAGGACATCAGGACCGATTATTTGAAGGAGGATGGATCTGCAAGTTATTTAGACTTTCCACATTTTGAATTGCTTTCTTTGATGCGAATAATAAAAACTGATGATAGGAAAGACATTTTATCAGATCTCAGTGAAATGTAGTTTGACCCCATTATTCTGCTTTGTATTTACTTATACTAGTACTACTACTTAATACTTCTAATGTTATGAGGATAACTTGTTGTATGTATTGCTACTACTATTACATTGTAAAAATATGCTCCTTCTCCCGCATTAAAAAATCCAGAAGCTGTAAATATGCAAATGTCTTTCATTTGGAAAGTTGAACATAGATAAATGTAAAAATGTCTTTTAGTATCAAACTGCACACACATCATTCTGCACAGTGAAGCTCAAACATTTAGGTAAAGTAACAATTTGTTAACACACAAATTGAATTATCTAATTCCTTCAGGCAAGCATGAAGCAATTTACAGCCATTTCTCTCTTATTTGACTTCTATGTGTCAGAGGTTTTTAGCTCTGAGTACTGCTCTACTTGCCAAAGCCTGCTCTGACCGTCCATTCAGAAACAAGTTTGGGGACACTGGGAACGTTTGTGGACATTTATATTTGTTACAAGATGTTTTGATATCTTTCAGTGATCGTTTTTTGTTGAGGTCATGAATCCTCCACCAGGTCTGCTACACACAGCGTAAACTGTAAATACTAGTTTCTGATGAACAATTGACACCAGAGCACGGCATTTTATTCCTCCGGTCAGCTGGGCTTGCTCCAGCTCCAGCGACGTACTCAGAGGATGACAAGTTTAGAGCCAAAAACTCGATCAGTTTGTCAGGGGGCGTGGTTTGTGATTGACAGTTTCAGCAGGAAGTGACTAAAATTACATGTGGTAAATGATGAATGACAGAAGGGTGTTGTGAACTATGAATGGTAAATCAAGTATATCACATCAGTTGACAATTTATTACTCTATATTTCAATTCACCTTAAATTTAACAACAATTTCACCTCAAGAAATTTTATTTACAGCCAACATTAATAAATGAAGGCACACAGGTTCATAAATAGACACAGGGCAGGTTTTTTTTAAATTAATCCTAAAAACACTACAAATACTATATAAAAATATAGCACAGTGGCAGGGCAGGTGGGGAGTGCTGTGACTTACCACACTGCAGGAAGAAGCCAAAACAAAGCAGGACAATACTTTACCTAATCACCCGTGACACTACAAACCAACAGAAAGGGACTCATGAAGAAACACCACCACCAGGGATCGGACTGCTGCCTTTGGTCCACAGCACCTGATAACAAAAGAAAAATCAATAAAAAAAATAACACCTGCCCTCCGTACTACAAGTGCCGACAAGGCTCCTCAAGAAACAATGTAAGAAATAAACCTATTAATGAAAATAACAAAACCCAAAATAAATGGCAATGAAAATACAAATTAAATACAAACTAAATTATTTGAAATATTTCTCCAGGGGCTTTAACAGCCAAGTCGCCCACAAAAAGAAATCCGACACGATGGAGCCAAAACTTAAGCACAAAATAAAGAATTAAGCACAAATGAAGATAAAAATATATAGTTAAAACAGCAGTTACAATCTAGGGCTTCTAAGAAAAGAAATACAAAACTATTACAGTTTGTGCCCGTTGCTTGAACACTATAGACCCATGCTTAGACTAAAGTAACACAACTTGAAGCTTTTGTTACCATACCTCAAACACATGTACCCATACCTTAAACAAAAGCGCTGCTTTGCACTCTAGTTGCAATTCTGCAACACACTTGGTCCTTTATGCAACACACTTGGTCCTGCATACTACACTCTACTTCATACATAAGACACTTCGTCACACTATGTATGTTATCCAAAATACAAAACACATTGCGTAATTGCAACCACTCAAATACACACCTGAACTTACTTGCAAAACTGAACACCAATCAGCCAGCTACAAAAAGCCCTCAGTTTAGCCATTTCAAGAACTTTGCAAGCATGGATGGAGGGAGAGCAAGAGGCAGAAGTAGAGGAAAAGGAGGAGGAGGAGGAGGACAAGGACAAGGTCAAGGTCGAAGAGGCCATGCACGGACCCCTATTTCTGATGGTATAAGAGCAACTTTGGTGGACCATGTCATCAACCATGGCCTGACTATGAGGGAAGCTGTCCACCCACATCTAAGCCGCTTCACTGTGATCTGTAATAAGAACATTCCGACTAGAAAACAGGTATGTCTTCACCTCTCTACCTTCTACTCTACTCAGATGGTATTTACAGCGAAGTACTACAGTATATCACTTTACCACATCACATGTACAGGGTATTGCAGGGTGCTAATGCTCCTTTTGCAGCCAAAGTGGTAGTTTTTGTGAAACATACCATGCATGATTACTTACAGTATATTGAGATGTTTCAGTACAGGGGATGATACAGTATATACAGTAAAGTAATGTAAGAAAAAGAAGCAAACCGATGACAATTTGTGGTTGTATTTCTCTAGAATGACTAGAAAACCTTCTGGGGGGAGGACGCCAACGCCTGTTCACACAACAGCAGGAACTTGCCGTTGTGGACCTAGTGAGGGCAGACAATGCCATCCGTCTCCACCAGCTACGACAGAAAATACTTGCAGACAGGCAAGTGTTCAACAAAATTAACCATGTGAGCATCTTGGGAACACAACATCACCATGAAGCAGCTCTACAGGGTCGCATTTGAGAGGAACAGTGTCAGGGTCAAAGGACTTGGAGCTGAATATGTACGGGTAAGTATAACTGTCCTTTACATTTACAATACAGTATTGGTGAAATCCAGTAGCAGCTGAATATGTACCGTATCAGTACCACATGGATCCATTCGGAGAGCTACACAGGTACCTGTGTGATGGGGTGAGGGTTCTGTATGTTTAGCACTGTAGTGCAGTAATATGTTTTTTTGTTACAGAGAATCTTGGTCATGGATGGAGCTGCACAGCCTCATGAATTCATTTTCATTGATGAAGCTGGATTCGTCCTGAGCAAGACAAGACAACGGGGTTGTAATGTAATTGAGTGAAAGAGGGCTACTAAATGTTAATCAACACAGAATTTAGTTTTGGTGGCAGATTTTTCAAAATAAAATAAATCCACCCAAGTTTGTGCACTACCTTTTTTGACCCTAACAGATCAGCAGTTTAAAAATCATCGTAGTAGAGCTGGAGCTGAAGAGCATGGTGGTGTTGTGAGAATAAACGGTGATTCCTGAAGTACGGGCCAACATTTAAATCTCTGTAGAAACACTCAAACTACAGAGTTCACTGTTCCAAAACATAGATGAAAGAGACCCTATGATGGGTGCATAAATGAACTTGTCATTGATAGGAACTTGCCTCTCTGTGCCTGTTGTTCTGTTTCTGCGTATATCAAAGCGAACACTAAGGATATGCTCAACTGGTTCTACTATTTTCCATTTTTCCTCAAAATGTCTCATCCTTTTAGATTCTGTGTTTAGACATGAGAATGGATTTTGAAGCTGATCAAAACAATCATCAACTTTCTCTAAGGTTTCTCTTGATGTATCAAATGACAAACATTCATCAATAGCTTGTTTTGCATGGGCATGGATATCATTAACCACTTCCGCCATTGAACCAACTAAACTTTGCACAGTACTTTCAAGAACTCCTGAGGCTTGCACTTGTCCAAAAAAGGAGCTGCATATGTCTAGTATTTTTTTTTCCACTGGGATCAGAAGAATCAGAATCAGAAGGAGTACGACAAATTTGTTTTAGTGATGAGGTGCTACATGTAGACAAACATACAGTTGACATAAATAAATGTAGATATATATATATATATATATATATATATATAAATATGGAATAGACAATGCAAGTTACATAAGAATATTAAAAAGAATAGAGAAAAATAATACAACTATTTGCAGAATATATTATTCTGGGTTTGTGTAGAGCAGACGTATTGCAAAGAAATATTTAACCCCTTGACGCCAATTGTCGCGAATTCGCATCATACCTCTTCCTTGCAGACTGCAAGCCAAAATAGCACATGGATTCCCTCAATGCCTGTTGGTGCATATTTGATATGAACCTAGGAACCTTTTGCAAGCCCTGGTTTCTCATTTATGCCTGTTGTCGTGAATTTGCATCATACCTACACATACCTGAATTTATATATTTTCTATGTACTAAAGACAAATTAACAATCTTCACTTAATTTAACATCAGCTTGAAAGCAAATGAAAACACAAATATTTTTTTATTTTTTGATCGTAAAAAAATTCAGGCGTTAAGGGATTAAATAGACAACAACAAAGATTAACAATTAACAAAAAAGTGTGCTATATGCCAGGTTTGAGGTTATGAAATGAAATAGTGTTTACATGTGCAGAGACATATGTATTATTTGCAAGGGGGGAATGTCAGCGGGGTCCCTGGCCTTGTTGATAAGGCTAGCTGCAGATGGGAAGAAGCTGTTTTTGTGGCAATAGGTTTTGGTCCTGATGACCAACAATGTTACTGTGAAACTTGTTTTCATCAGATGGAAAAAAATTCTCTTTCTGGTAAGGCACATCTTGCATAAAGCTGAATGGACTATTTAAGTAATTGACTGCTTGATCACATAATAAACCAGCAACAATTTTGATAACCGATTTGTTTTCATTCTTTTATGTAATAAACATTGAACGTTGAACATTCCCTATTAACAGATACTTAATGAGATATTTTGGTGTTAAGTCATAATAAGCTGACTTTGCTGAATCTCTTCAGCAAAGTCCTTTGAGCTAAACAAACTTTTCTTTTACTACCTGCAGTGTATTATGTGGATAAAGCAACTATGCATAATTTTATTCCAACAGCAGACTTTTATTTAATATAAAAGGGAGCTCTAAATGCAGAGTAAGAAATAAATTACCAATAAATTAAAATAAATAAATAAAAGAAATTCAACTTTTGGGGAATCAAAAGCAAATAAAGATGCTAATAACAACTGTTTAAAATAAGAAATCCCACACAATGCAAATTGTTAAGTGAGGTAAACGAGGTAATGGAACAATATAAAAAAGAGCACAGAGCAAAAACCTTTGTTTTGAATATCTCTCGCTGTAAGCTTGCAGTAAACATACTGAGCATATAGACAAACAGTTCAGAAGTGCTTTCAGGAGTCTGTAACAGACAAATCCATCCACACCCACCTTTCTCTTGCTCCACCAGGAGCATCAGTGACCACAGTGAGGAGTGTCAGCAATGTCTGTTTCATCTTCACCCTGCAAAATACAAGCAATCCAAATATGAAGATAATTATAAAGCACTGTATGCTCATCAGTTCCCCCCACGCACTTTTTATTTTTTCCAAGCCTGTCTTGATACAATACTCACATGACAAAATGTTAAGAGTTACTGGTGGCTGTGATGATTCCTTCTGTCTATACTGACTATAACGCTTTCTTAATCTGACTCAACTGTAAGAGAATGAGGACAAAATTTTCAAGTTCATTAGGAACTGTTATGAGACTTCAACAGTCTGACATAAACAAGCCACAAAACATATCGTAAGTATTTTTAGAAGTTAGTCTTTGTGTGTTAACTTGCTGAGCTGCAGCAGTGGGATACTTCCTTCCAACAGTAAACCTACACAATGACCTAACAATAATTTTTTAATTAGACAGCTTGAGACTAATTTAGCTGCAGCTGAACTTAGCCTGCTAAAATCCTGTGTCCTCATGAGGACTTTAGGTTTTGGGCTCCCTGCACTGTATACTTCATTCTGCTTAACAGCTTAAACCTATTGTCCTCGTTAGTGGGCAGTTGCCTGTGCCCTCTATGGTCACTCTTTGCAGCCTTCTGACGTCTGTTTTTACTTTGTTGCACATACTCATCTTTTGATAAAGTACTTCCTGTTCAAAGACAATGTTTAGGGCTTTTATACTTAAAATCACATACACAGAATCAAAGCTCAGCGTCTTGGGAGGTTACAGAAACATTTTTGCATGAAAGGAGAAGTGTTTAATTGAGATGAGGAATGACAGCCAACAATAATAAGGCTGACAGACATCACACAAAACCCCACCCCCCTGGCAAGAAAAAACTAAATTTTTCACATTAAACCACCATGTAAAAGCAGGTTTTAATGACCACGAACATTATTATTATAAATTTTAAATATTCTTCGTACCGTCCTTGGAATTCTCTTTTCCCAAACTCAGACACACAGCAGCCTACACAGGTAAACACACACACACACACACACCCTCCGTTTGACCCGTGAGAGGGCAGTGAAAAACGTAAGAGTTAGTAAGTCTGGTTTGGTAAGATTATGTTATTTAAGTAATTTAATTGACGTGGCAAATGACTAACTCAGCGGGAACACTGAGTGTGAGCGAAACCAGTACCTACTCTCCGTGGCTCCGGCACACTGCGGTCAGCTGATGTTTTGTTCTGTGGTGCTGCAGTGTTGTTAACAGGAGGAGCTACAGCGCGCCCTCTGGTGGGAAAACTATGCAACACTCATGACCCGAGGGAAGGATCCGACTCTCTGTTTCTCTTTTTAATAGTAATATCGTATGTTATAAACGCAGATGCAGATATATCTGCTTATATCGGCCAATAATATCTGCAAAATAATGAATCGGTCGGGCTCTAGTTGATATTGACATTTCTGTGAGTACAATTAGTACCTACATTCCAGGTTTTGAAGAAGTCAGTCATTCACTAGCAGGCTCACCGGAAGGGCATGGAGGGTCGGAACAACATCTCATGTGTACATAGTGATGTTCCTAGATTGACAAACAAAATAATAATTATTATACAAATATTTTTACAGCACATCAAGCCATCTAGTGTAATATTATGCAATTTTAAAATAATAATAATATTGATAGCAATAACAATGAATCCATCCAGATGCAACTACTTACAGACAAGTCAAATTTAAACAAACATAGATTAGTTTCTCTCTTGCCATATCATACAGATACAGACACGTAGAGGCTGCTCTCTGTCCACTTTCGACTTTCATTGTCAGCCGTATGTTTAACTGCCCAAAAAACACAGTACATCTCTCTGTTAGTAGACTATATGGCAACCAATCATGGATAGAGTTGGACTCTTGGATGGATAGAAAAATAGAAATGCTCCACCCATAAAATATGAGTGAAATTGAGGATTTTCTGTCATAGGCTTTTAAATGACTTTTAAAGTGATCATGTACTGTAAAACTTGACAAATGACAGTAGATGGATCTATCTTCCTAACATAATCAAATTTCCATATTATAGTAGAGGTCCCAATCTGTATTGACTTCACATTATGTGATCAACATTGTCGCTATAGTAAAGGTAATCTTGAACTCACTGGAGGTCATAAATCCTGGGGATCTCTACAGGGCCTCTGCTCTCTTGGTCTTCTGCCTGTCCAGGGCAATCAGTTGTGGTGTGTATCTCTCAAGCGCGCAGTAAAATTGGTTGCATAGGTTCAAGATCTGTAAAGCCATGGAACTCAGCAAACACCTGCAAACACATAAATGTATATAGATTAATGGTTTTTAACTTGGGCCTTAACAGGAAAACATAAGGCATCAATAACTTGTTTTAAGCGGGATGGATGGCTATATGGCAAAAAGATTACAGTTTTTATCTGAGAAATGGAAATTGACCACGGCACTGATAAGAAAAAAATGCAGGGTCATCCTGCAAATTTCTTTAACCTGACTTAACTTTTGCTGCATCAAAATAAAAAAAATGAATGACTAAGAATTGATTTAGCAAATCAAATATCTTTTAAATAAGACTAATTGTATAATATTTCATCATCTAGCTACAGTTTCCTTGGCCTTAATCACTGCCAAGTGAAGGCACCTGCTCATAACCGGTATCAGACGGAACGAATTTCCCCTCGGGGAGAATCCCTTGGATTTTAGCCACCACTGCAGGGCTCTCATGTGCAGCGGGCCAGACGGGATCCATTCTTGCTTTTGTTTGTGTTAAACTTCAGTGAAATTTAGCCTCCTACGAATAAAAAACTTCCGGCACATGTTGTTATGTTATTTTAACTTATCTTAACTTTAAGTTATCGTTAATAACGTTACTGTACTGTAGAGGGCTAACGTTAGCTAATGTTAGCAAGCTGGGTCACTAGGCATGATTTGTGCCGTAATGGCGCAATGCGTACATACAAACAATTTATACATGGCTGACAAAGTTGTACTACATATCATCTTAAGTTAAATTAGAGAATATAACTTTTCAAAATGCATTCTGGGATACATTGAGTGGACTATATAGGGTATATAATTATCACTAGACATTCAGACAGCACTACAAAATGGCAAGCTCACTATATAGCCCACTAATTAGTGAGTAGTGGGTGACACAGCCAATGTTCACTCAAAAACAATGATGCACATATAATTAAAACAGCATTACCCATTAAGAGAACTGTTTGGTTTACTTATTAGCTGTTTTTGAGTGCTTCACCCATAATGGTTATGAGTTAGCAGTACTGTTCAGGATTACAGTGCATACAAGTCAGATACTGCCAGTCATTTTCCAAATCACACTGTGATCACCTTCCAGAAGCTTTAAACTTACGATAGTCTTATGATTATACTCATCACCTGTCAACTGCCTCACAATTGAACAGCCCGTTCCCTCCACCATCTTGAAAAGTGGACTTCGATTTCTTGGAATCTTCAGCAGAGTTTTGCTGGACCGTTTTCAGCCTCCATGCCAGGTAACCAGAGCCACTCTGGTGGTCAGAGAAATGTTCCTGTGAAAAGAAAAATAAAAGGTTAATCTGTTACCTTATTAAGAAGACAGGATTTCAGAATTTCAGCTGTTTTGATGCGTTAAACAACTTGGGACATACCACCCTTTGTTTGAAACCAGCCATCGGCTCCCATAGTGCCCTTTCTTCAGCACTGAGAACCAAGGCCGAGTGAGGCCCACTGCCAAGACGTAAAGGCTTCGCTCTCTAAGGCCATCGCTATTGGGTTTAGAGGCAAAGCAGGATGAGTCAACGCCTCACTGGCCCATATGCTACCACAAAGCACAGACCCACCTACCTAGAGCAACAAGGCCGGGGACTGGATGGGGGGCCCCGCAGCTGTGCAGGTGCAGACGAGGTCACAACAGCAACCGCATCGGTTGTGTATAGAGCAGGGCCAGCGTGGGCCACAGCCGCTCCCCACTGTCCGGATGGGAGAAGCGCACCGCACACTCACAGAGGGCAATCACTCAGACAGAACGCTCAGTGCAGTCAGCGAGAATCGTGAGACATCCTGCAGGTAGAACAGATGAAAGATCACGGGGAAGACCAGGAGGGCACCGTGCAGATGTCGTCCACCGACATTCCACTGTCCCATGCCACCGAGGAGGAGACGCCTCTCGTGGAGTGCGCCCTCATGCCGTCCGGGGGAGATACACCAGCTGACACATAGGCCTGTGAGATAGCCTTGCACAGCCAATGAGACAGATGCTGCGCCAACAGGGGAAGCCCCTTGGACTGTTCCCTGTAGTGGAAGAACAGGCACTGTGAACGGCGCCAGGCGGTCATGCGCGCTAAATAGCAGGACAGCGTGTGCACCGGACAGAGGGGGTGAGACATAGCTTCATCCTCACAACCATGGGGGGAGGAAAGAACCGAGAGATCCGAAGGAGCTGGTGATGCTCTTAGGCATGAAAGCAGGATTAGGGCGCAGGGCTTCCATCACCCTGGATCGGTGACCCTCTTGGACGACATCAGGGCAATGCAGAGTGACACTGGCCAAAAGGAACCGCAGGTCCGCCGTCTCCAAGGGCTCGAAAGGAGCTTGGGTAAGGGCACGTAAAACTAGTGCCAAATCCCAATGTGGAGCGGCAGGCTGGGACACCGGTCTGTGCCTCCACCACCCTTTGAGGAAACGCTTCACCAGCGGGTGAGCGAGCACCACCCTGTCTCCGAAGCATTCGTGGCAGGACGAAATGGCAGCCCTGTAGGTTTTAACCGTACTGAACGCCAGACCTCTGTCCGTGAGTAGCTGGAGGAACAAAAGCACCCTCAGCAGCAGACAAGCAACGGGGTCCAACCCCTGGTCCAAACACCAGCGTTGGAACGCCGACCATTTGGAGGAGTAAGAGGACTGAGTAGAAGCGGCTCTCGACCGCTGGATGGTGCACACCACCACCGGGGAGAGACCTAAACTCTCTAGGCGCCGCTGCTCAGCGGATAACTCCTGATCACGTCTCCTGCCTGAAAGAGGGCATCCCAGTTTTCCACAGCCGACCTGACAGCAAACGCTGGAGACAGGGAAACCAGGGTGTGCTTGTGTGCTCCGGAGCCACCAGGATGTCCAAGAGTCGCGGGATCAGCCGAACCGGCGGAAAAGCATACAACAGCTGAGGGGGCCACAAGGGGTGCGCAAAGGCATCCACCCCTAGCAAACTTAATGCACAATCCAAAGACTTCATCTCTGGTTTCAATATGATATTTTATGACTTTCTAAAGCCAGTTTTTGTATCTGGTAAATGTTGTTATGGCTGTATGTGTTTCTCTGTGCTGTGCATCTTGCTCCTTTTCTGTCCTCTAGTTCTGCCCAAGGAGTGCTACAGCTGATTGCTGAATTAGGTCCACCTGGCCTTGCAAGGCAGTGCACAACTGTGTGCACGGGAGTTGGGGAAGTCCAAAATTTAAATATGGTATACAAAAAGAAAGACAAGTGCAAAGGTTAAGTTTTTCTTGGTAGTCCAAATGAATCCATTTGTTTGCAAGTTTTTGGTATGCAGGCCAAAGTACATTTTCAGATTCGACTGACCACTTGGTTTCTTAGCTCAATTGGAAAAATCAACAGTATATCTATCCAAGGTCTGCAAGACATTAAGTAAGTTTCCCTTAATAATTGGTATGGTGACCAAATTCTGGAAATGTTAGTCCATAACCTCCTCCACAGAACTGGGGAAGAATTCAAGTCTGGTGGCTACATGGCTGCAAAAATGACAAGAGCAGATAACCACTCCCCCTCCACCACCAGCTCTTCCATTACGTGTGAGTAATAAGCAAAAGGCAGATGATCTACACTAGCTTGCCGTGTCTTACATCCAAAAAGCTTGATTTACAGTATAACATTGATAAATAGGACTGTGTGATCTGACGGTATACACTATATTTCCAAAAGTATTGGGACACTCCTTCCGAATCATTGAATTCAGATGTTCCAATCACTTCCCATGTCCACAGGTGTATAAAATCAAGCACCTAGGCATGTGGACTGCTCCTTCAAACATTTGTGAAAGAATGGGTCGCTCTCAGGAGCTCAGTGAATTCAAGCTTGGTACCTGTGCAATAAGTCCATTTGTGAAATTTCCTTACTACTAAATATTCCAAGGTCAACTGTTAGTGGTATTATAACTAAGTGGAAGCGATTTGGAACAACAGAAACTCAGCCTTGAATGGGTAGGCCACATAAAATCACAGAGCAGGGT